TATAGCAGGGTCCTCAAATACAGCATCTTCATAAAAACCCGCATTTGGAACATAACAGTTTTCAGCAGAATCCCTGGAAAAATTCACGAAATACAAAAGTAAAGAAGATGGACAACTATGACAGCAGCACATTAGCATTTCTCAATCTAACGAGAAAAACATGTTACTTTACCAAAGTGTGTCACGGTAATAATGGCTAATCCTTAGTGCCTTTCCACGCAAACCAGCCTTCAATGCTTCTGTGCTACTCATGGTGGTAATGCCTACCTGAGAAATTTCCAAAAAGTACAGGCTCAACATAAACTTTAAGCAGAAAACAATCCAAAAATCACATAGTTAGTAATATAGCTTACAGCTATAGGAGCGGGATTGCCAGGAACTTTCACAGCCCATGGCTCACCAGCAGAAAATGAGGGAAGACCTTCAGCACAAATTTGGATGCCAGGGAACATCAAATCAGCCCCACCAAGAACAAACCTAGAAACCTCTCCCCCTTTAAGCATAAAAGCAGGCAAAAGATCCGGAACCTTCCATAAGGCATAAACTGACATCGAACAAATGAGGATAAGAAAACAAAATGCATACTCCACAATGAGGTCCAAAGACGCTCGTAGTACAATGAAAAGCCCAAGAAGAGATGTAATGGATCATTCCATGTTATAAAAATAAATGAAGTAAACCCCAGAATCTTATGCAAGATTTATGGATTACCTGTAGGTAATATTTCTGATCCCCGTCCGTCGATATCATAAAACATTGGACAGTCACCTTCCAGACCGTACACAAGTACTCGGTTAGGGTACTTGGTCACAGTTATTTCCACCTTAAAAGAGAATTTAATTGTTCACGTCAGCAAACAAATAAGAAATGTCCTGAATCCATGGCCCTTCACCAGATTCAATAATCGTCGCTATTCTTAACATGGATGAGCATAAGTTACATTTTTGTGATGAACATCGGACACCACCGATATCCTAAAAATTTCTCATTTAAGATATTTTTCCAAAAATAAAATTTGAACAACTCGGAGTAAGAGATATTGAGCACTCAGGATATATTTCTGGTCGAAACACAAGACATGTTAGGGAAATGCCTGGGGATTTAAAGCGCTAGATACATTCAACAGTAATAATCAAAGGAGCTAACTTTCTACCAAATCATCTGCACCAAAGTTCATTTATTTATTTATTTTTCTAGAATAAAGAGGAGGAAAACACCTCATTTGTTATTTCATCAACTCTTACAACAAAAACGCACAGCCCACATCATATCTACACAATTATCACACAGGTAAACACGAAAGATGCTCAATTTAAAGGAGAAGCAGAATCTCCAGAGTATCCAAGCTAAATATACCATATATTCATAGATAGCTTTAACAAATAAATAAGAAAAACATCAAAGACCTTTGGGGGCAGTAAAACATCAATTTCTGCATCAGAAGCGTTAGGGAATCGTTCTCTGATTGAACGTTTCAGTTTTTTACGGTCTGCC